GTACGTTACAATCAAATCGATTTCCGACACTTTTGATCAAATTTTTAGTCTCTGATAACTTCTCAAATCGATTTTCTATTGCTTTCAATCGGTTTCCTGTTGGTTTTTACATATCATGTCGATTGTTGATTCGTGATTTACAATTTTGTTTCTTTCAAACGGTTTCCTGTTGACTTTTTCATATCATGTCGATTGTTGATTTGTGATTTAAAAATACGTTTTTATGAATGATTATATAAATTGTAAGTTTTTTGTTGTAGATTAAAGAGTGGGATCATATATGCTTTTTTAGTAATTTTTAGGAATTTAGATTAATTTTTTAAAGAAAGCCGAAGGTGAATGAACTTCCGATCACATTTCTGAACATGTATTAAGTGATTGGCTTATGATTCATGGAGTTCCTGATCGATGTTCTTTCTCTTCCTGAACCAGTGGGCGATGACGACAATGACGTTTATCATGGGGAAACTTTTGATACTATTCATCTACGTAATTCTGGTGATAAGTTGATAGTGAAAGCGATAGTGATGTATCAAATTCATGATGTTGCTGATATACTCCAGCCAATGTTTAAATATGATGTAAGTGACTTTTTTATTGGTGTCTATTCAAACAGGTAATAAATAAAATCAAAAATGGCTCGACTATTTATATGGTAATCTTGTTTCTAATCTTTTGATTTTAACTTTGGTGGATAATTAAATTGCTTTCATTTTTAGGTTGATAACTACTTGGGTACAGTGATGATTTTCAAGTTTTTATAAAGCCTCAGGCAGATATAAAAAACTATTGTTCAGACCATGATAATCAATTGGCTGCTGCTTTGCTTGCTGATTTGCAAATCAAGATGTTTAAATCTAATGAGATGATTGTCGATATTTTAGTCCATAAATTATCCCGCAGAGGTATAGAAGATTAGCTGCTGTTGGATTTGCATTATTATTAGCAAGTAGTTATTATTATTTCAGGAAGTTCTATCAATCCTAGTGAGAGAACATATCCAGAAGAAATGATCCAGACTGGTATCTCCGCGATTGATGTGATGAATTCAATTGCTAGAGGACAAAAGATTCCTTTGTTTTCTTGAAACATCCCAAAAATACAACCCAAAATTTTTTTGTTTGAAAACATTACTAAAACCATAATATCAAATATCATATAATAAAACCATGAGTCGTGTATCTCAAATGTCATAATAAATGTATCAAATCAAAACCGATGTCAATATCATGTCAAAAATATCAGAGTCTAACTCCCAGGCTAAAACTGTGGTGTATGCCATGCCATCATCCCGAGCCCTTCCCCTTGTTAGCTGAAGTACCTGAAACCAAAACTGAAACTGTAAGCACGAAGCTTAGTGAGGCTCCCCCAACTACCACATACCATACAATAGCATATAAAGCAACTACTGGGTCTTGCCCACTGCATCGGACCGAAGTCCGGAACTAACCAGGGCCTTGCCCTCTGCATCGGACCGAAGTCCGGAACTGACTGAACATAGCATAGCATAATCATAACTACTAGCATAAACACATATACTGCATACTGCATCAGACCGAAGTCCGGAACACATAACACAAAGACATGCTTGAATCACAAAGACATCAAGCACACTGCACTACTGCGTCGAACCGAAGTCCGGGAACTACTGCTATCTAAACGGGCCGGCATTGTGGCCGTATACCCGTTCCTATTAGAAGGAAAACTCACCTCGAAACGTTGGCTGCTGAGATGCTAAATTTGAAACTGTCTGACTGCTGCTCCGGAACTCCCCGACTACAAATCCCATAAACACTAAATCAAATACTGATAACTACTCTCAGGGTAAAATGACCATTTTACCCTTCTGATCAGAGTCAACGCTAAGGTCAAAGTCAACTCTCAGTCAACCCAACTCGCCGAGTCCCTCTACCAACTCGTCGAGTTCAAACGGTCATAACATCGGGACATCTCGATTCTACTCGTCGAGCCTCACCTTGGACTCGTCGAGCTCCTTTGTTTCCGAGTCTCACTCCTGTCTAACTCGCTGAGTCATCTCCTTAACTCAGTGGTATCACTCATAATCGAAGAAGGGTTTGGGGACATCGATCCGACTCGGCGAGTCCCAAGAACAACTCGGCGAGTCCATTGCATGTTCAAACTATACAGTTGTTCCTAGGTGATTCCACTGCCTCCAATTCATAGATCTGGACTCCTTAGGCTAGAATAACACGTAAAGTTGCTAACTTTACGTGCATGCATGATGCAATGAAGCTAAATCACCCAAAACAAGCTAGAAATGAGAGTCTAGGGCATAGAATGGGATATTGGCTGAATAAAGGTGGTAACTTTGAGCTTCTGTAGCTCAAGAATGCCTAGATCTAAAGTCCTTATAGACCCAAAAGCTCTCTACCCGAAATTATCTTGGAAAGGACCCCAAAAGTGGCAACAACAAGCTTTCAAGAAGATCTAAGTGAAAATAAGTCAAGGTACAAACTTTATACCTTCAAGAGCTCTGAAATGCAACTAAAACTCTGAATCTTGTGCCCCTTCTTGAATCACCAATGGATCTCTTCCTTCTCCTAACTTCAAATCACACAAAAATGGCAAGAAAGGCTTTAAGACACTCAATGGTTGCTAGGGTTTCGAGAATGGACTGTGGAGGTGATGGAGGCTGGGGTGAGGACTCATAATGATGCTTAAATAGGGTGCAAACCCTAAGGATTAGGGTTTCCTCCTGATGGACCTACTCGCCGAGTCCATTTCCGACTCGTCGAGTAGTCCACTTAAACCCCGCGGTCCAGCTCGCACCTACTCGACGAGTTAGGGCTACCAACTCGTCGAGTAACTCTTATAAAATGAACATTTAGAGAATTACTTTCGTACCAGGAATGGGGCGTTACATTTCTGCTGTTGGTCTTCCTCACAATGAGATTGCTGCTCAAATCTGTCGTCAAGCTGGTTTAGTCAAGCGATGTATTATGTTGCTATTATATGTGAAAAGAAAATACATTGTTATTTCTCGTGATTCTAATTTTTTACTCCAAAGTGAATTTTATGTGATTTTAGTAGTATTAAATACACAAAAGACTGAGAATTTTTTATTTTACAGTCAGGTGGAGAAGAGGACAACTTTGCCATTATTTTTGTAGCCATGGGAGTGAACATTGAGACTGTACAGTTTTTTAAACGTGATTTTGAGGAAAATGGCTCCATGGAAAGAGTGACGCTTTTTATAAATTTATACCTTCAACATAGAAGAAAAGAAATAGAAGGTTTCCTCACATCTGCAAGTGGATACTTAGAGAAAATACAAATGCAAGATGGATCATGGTTTGTTTTTTTTCACTAAAATCAACCTTTTTGTAGTTTTTAACAGATGACAGAATTTGACATAGTGCGGGTCCCGAAAAAAAAAGATATAGTTTTTTCCATAATTAAATTAGAATGTACTGTATATTGATTATAGTGTTTGAAGTATGCGATTCACATGTGAATCACATGCGATTCACATGTAAATTACATATAAATTACATGTGATTCATATGTAAATCACATGTAATTCGCATATGAATTACATTCACATGTAAATCACGTATGAATTACATATGAATTACATGTGATTCACATGTAAATTACATATGATTCACATGTAAATCACAAGTGAATCACATGTAAATCACAAGGGAATCACAAGTGAATCGTATATGAATCACAAGTGAATCACATATGAATTACATGTGATTCACATGTAAATCACATATGAATTAAATGTGATTCACATTTAATTCACATATGAATTACATGTGATTCACATGTAAATCACATATGAATTACATGTGATTCACATATAAATTACATGTGATTCACATGTAAATCACATATGAATTACATATGATTCACATATGAATTATATGAATTACATGTAATTCATATATGAATTACATGTGATTCACATGTAAATCACATGTAATTCACATATGAATTACATGTGATTCACATGTAAATCATATATGTATTTTTGTGAGTGTATTTGCATCAATCATTTTTTTTAATTTTCTTGTAGATTTGGAAGAAATTGTGGTGAATATTGAAGAGGTGAAAATAACAAATTGAAGAAAATAAGGAAATATTGATACGAAGACATGAAAACGCTTTGAAATTTGTAGCATTTTTTATTTTTTATATTTTATTTTGTATCAAATAAAATACTTGTACTATTATGTTTATAGATTAATTAATAAAAATGAGATTTTTTGTGATTTACTTACGAATATTATAGTATAAGAAATATACATATATGCATTTGAAAAAATATGCATATATGCACCTAAAAATTTACTTTTTTTTTTAAAAAAAATGCAGTTTTTTTTAAATACAGTTTTTTTGAAAAAAAATGTAACTTTCTTTAAAAAACTTGTAGTTTTTTTTGAAAAAATTGCAGTTTTTTTTTAAAAAATTGTAGTTTTTTTTGAAAAAAAAATGCAGTTTTTCTTTAGAAAAATTGCAGTTTTTTTGAAAAAAAAAATGCAATTTTTTTATAAAATTGCAGTTTTTTAAAAAAGTATATTTTTTTCAATTTTTTTTTCAAAAAATCATGTTTTCTATAAAAATTAAAAAATCTGCATTTTTTTTAAAAAAAACGAAAAATACTATATTTAAAAAAAATCTAAAAATTTGATTTATGATGTAAATTTTTAGACATTTATATTAATATATTAAATAACACAAAAAATTAAACATTAAATAAGATTGGTAAGATGACGATCATGTCCTTAATAAATTACTTTTGATCCAACGCTCCCCTTCACCCATGAATCTTAAAAAGAACTCAAAATATAAAACCATGACTTTTATAAAAAGTTCCAAATGCAAATGCAAAAAAAAACACATTCAAAATTATGAGAAAGAGGATGTTGTACCCAAAATACATGATTCAGTTCAAATTCTAACCCTCATCCCACATAATGAAACCATTAACCCAGGAACCTTTAGCTCTGATCATAAAAAGGACCATTTGGTTAACCAACCTAATTCCATTTAAATGAAACACAACTGATTTTAAAACTCAAAAACGAACAAAGACAGAGGATGAATTTACTTTGTTACCTTCTTTTCCAGCAACAAAAGGTCATGTAGATAAGGATAAACTGAGATAGCGTAAGCACTTTGCTGGTGTTCTGCAAGCCCTAATTACAAAACTAAGAAGTAGTGAAACCCCTGGAAAGAGAAGATACATGGAAAAGAAAGAAAAAAATGAAACCCCTAATCTCATTTCTACCTATCTACCTGAAGCATAACGTAAATATAGGATTTAAGGTCTAAATATACAAAATTTCATCTATGTACATAATTTTCACAATACAAAATAACAAAATATCAAAGCGTCTACCATAGAGCGAAAAAAAAGAGAGAAACAACCTAACCTTGCCCGATTTACCTTAAAAAGTCAAATATAAAATAAACTCACGTTTCAGCTTCTTCCCTTCTGATTTTTGAGTCTTCCTACAAAATTTAGCACACAAAATCGGTTAACACACATGAATCAACAAACAAAAATCCACAAAGAAAGATTGGGGAAGTCTTGTTACCGTGGAATAGAGACATCTCAGATCTTGAGACTGAGTAAAAAAACAGAATTTTTCGACTGGGAAAAAAGAGCAGATGGAAGTGAGATACATCGAGTATTAAGAAGTTACCTTGAATTAGTTAAAAGCAAACTGGATCCTGCAGAGGTCTTCAGAAAACATTACTTTCAAGTGGGAGTTCTTCAGAAGTGAAGTGGGAGACGATCATACGATGGAAAAAATGTTTGTTTTAGGGCTTTTTGTACAATATTTTTGAAGCCGATTTAACTATTTTTAGCCACAATTACCATCGTTCAATCAATTTTTTGAGAGAGTAGATTCTTGTATATTGTCGCGTTCGAGAGAAGAAATGGCGTCTCATATAGGGTTCTTTGAGAGATGAGAGGCTATGAAACGTATATCTCTTGTTGACTGATTCAATTTGATGAAGGCGAGAGAATACAGGGTCAACTTTGATCGATTCAATTTACGGATGAATTTAAGCGGTTAAATTGAGATATTTAAGGAATAAAAATCAAATTATATATGTACATCTATGATAATACGATTTGGTATGCGGATAAAATTTGTGCATTTTCTGATTATACCTCCCGCTTATAAATTTGGACGATGTAATCTCATTTGAATTTTAATATTATTTTATTTATAATTGGTTGTACATTAAGCTTAAAGACTTGAACGTCTTAAAAAAATATTATTATTATATTGAAGTTATTTTTAGAAATAGTGAGATTTCCTTTATAATGTATTATAGATATATATATATATATATATATATATATATATATATATATAAACAGAGCGTTTAATCGAGAACATTTCTTACTGCAATAATATTTGAGAACAAATTTTGAGCGTATAGTTTTTTTTAATTAAAAACATAAAAAAATATTAATATAAATAAAAAATTAAGTAAAAAATTAAAAAGTCACCTGACACCCCTCATACCCTCACCACCCAAACCACCACACCCCCCCCCCCCCTACCCCATCATCACCCCCCCCCCACCATCCGCAACCACCTCGTCGCACCGCCACCCTAGCCACCCACCCCACCCCCATCCACCCCGACCACCACCACCCTCACTACCACCATACCCCACTCCACCCCTACCCACCTCCCCCCCCCCCCCCCAAAACCCCCCCTCCCTCCCCCCTACCTACCACCCACCATTAGACCCCACCACCCTCCCCCCCTCACCACCCCACCATCACCACCACCCATCATCACCACATGTCACCACCCACCACCACCACCACCGCCTCAATTACCCATCACCACCACCACCACCACCACCCCCACCCCCTACCACCACCACCCACCACCTACCACATCACTACCAACCACCACCATCACCACTAACCACCGACCACCACCTCCATCACCCATCACTACCACTCGTCACCACAACCCACTACCACCACCTATCAGCACCACCCATTTCCACCACCCACCACCCACCTCCAACATACATCACCACCACCCGCCACCATCACCATCACCCCCACCACCACTACCCACCACCATCAACACCAATCATTATCATCACCACCACCACTCACCCACCCACCCACCACCACCCGCCTCTACCACCCATCACACCACCCCACCCCACCACCACCACCCGCCACCACCATTAATACCACCCGCCATCATCACCCCCACTACCAACCATCACCACCTACCACCATCACCATCCACCACCACCCCACCTATCACCTACGAAAACCACCACCACTACCCTCCACTACCAACCATTAAACCACCTACCACCACTACCACTACCACTCGCCTCAACCACCCATCACCACGACTCGTCGCTACCACCTCACCTAGCACCATCATCACCACCTGCCACCACTAACCACACCCATAACCATCATCACCACCTAACACCATCGCCAACCACTACCTACCACCACCACCCACTACCATCACCACCATTCGACATCACCCACCTATCAACACCACCACTACCAACCTACACATCATCCATCATAACCACTTGTTACCCCCACAACCCTTCACCACCACCACCACCCCACCTGTCACCCTCACCACCCTTCACCACCACCACCACTCACTACCTATCACCACCAACAACCACCACAAACCAACTACCACCCAAGACCCCTATCACCCATTCCATACCACCACCACCACCCACCCGTCTTCAACACCAACACCACCCACTACCTACAACCACCAACACCATATGTGATTAAATACGTATAATGACATAAATCATGTGTGATTATATGTATTTATTCACATAAATCAAATGTAATTACATACATATAATCACCAGTGATTATATATATCTAATTACATAACCACCACTCCCACCCCATCCACTACCCTTCACCACCACCACCACCCACCACCTATCACCACCACAACCACCACTAATAACCACCACAAACCAAATATTACCCACGACCCCCACCACGCACCACCCACCACCACCACCAGTCGTTACTACTACCCACCATCGTCCCCCACCTCCACCACCACCACCCGTTACTACTACCCACCATCGTACCCCACCTCCACCACCACCAAAACCCACAACCCACCATGCACCACCAATCATCCCCACCACACGACCACCACCCACTACCTACAACCACGAACACAATATGTGATTAAATGCATATAATGACATAAATCATGTGTGATTATATGTATTTAATAACATAAATCACACGTGATTAAATACATATAATCACATGTGATTATATGTATAATCACATATGATTATAAACACAAGAACAAGTAATTGTGGTGGTGGTTTGTAGGTGGTTGGGGTGGGTGGTGGGTGGGTGGTAGAGGTGGTTGAATCAAGAATGTGAAAACAACTTTTGAATCAAGAAAAACACGAAATCATATGTGATTTATATGCATACAATGACATATGATTTATATGGACAATATGTGTTTTTGCGTTTCCGATTTAATAATTTTTTTCATTTATTTAATCATATTCGATTATATGTATTTAATCATATATGATTAATGCGAATAAAGATTTGTTTTCATGTTCTTGATTTAATAGTTGTTCTCGTGTATATAATCAAATTTGATTATATGTAGTTAATCACATATGATTTATATGGACACTATTCGTTATTGAATTAAGAAAGTGAAAAAGAATTATGTCCACATAAATCATTTGTGATACATATAATCAAATGTGATTATATATGTTTAATCTGTAACGCCCGCAGATTCGGGCTAGTCAATTTAGAGACAGTAAGCGTCAAAAATAACTTTTTAACAGAAGATTATTTAAATAATCTTAACCAAGTTATAGTATATGTCACAAGGGTTCCCGTACATATAAAGAACGTTGAAATCCGAGTTATAACGAAGAAGTTATAACTTGTCGAAGTTTTACGACAAAACCGGCACGACACCGGGAATCGTAAAAAGTGATTTTTTGATAAACTAATTTTTAGCCTTATAGATCTAAATGAAGTTTGTAGTATACGTTAAACCGAGAACATACATAAAAAGAACGCCCAAATCTGACTTCGTATGCGGAAGTTATGATTTTTATAAGATTTGGCATAACAGTGCACAACCTGAAATTCGAATTTTATATCGATCGATTTTTGGCCAGCACAACCTAAATGAGAATTTAAGATCTCATTAATAAGAGCTCAACGATAAAAAGACAGACGAAAACGGAGTCTGTAGGTAGAAGTTATGAATTCCACACGGTCATTTAACAATGTAATCTTCTCATACTGTTAAATTTAAAATGGGTCGAGAATTAGCCGACGGATTCAAAAGGAGAGTTGTAAATCCTGTCAATACCTACGCGTGGATATAAAGAACGTCGAAAACGGAGCTCGTATGTGAAAATTACGGGGTTTAGAAGTCGGGAGTGTGCTGCTGCGAAGGGGGTGACGTGACGCGATCTGAGCCATTGCTTTCTCCCCAAGTCTTGCCACCAGATGGTGACATGTGGCACCCAAATCGACAGGTTGGAGGCCCAACTCAACGAGTTCAGCTGTATTTCAGCCTATAAATACCATGCGAGAGTGTCTTCATTCTTCACACCAAAACCTACTTCTCTCTCTCTCTCTCTCTCTCTCTCTACACACTCTCTAAAACCCTAAAAACCCTCTTAAAGCCCTAGTATCCTCAAGGCACTAGAGGAAAGCCCCGGAGCCCCCGAAGGCTCTGAGAAGAAAAGCTTTTGGCTCAGAAACTCTGCTTCAGTGAAGCCCGATTTTGAGAAAAACTCGTTGTAAGTGAGTTATGCTTACCCTACTTTAAGTATAACTTATGTTTAAGTTCATTATTGTTATTATGAACTTATAAACAAGATTTATCAGTGATTCCAAGTCATTATACTAATTGATCTACTTACGGGGATGATGTATAGGCTGTGATTTAGTGAGGTGTTTAAAGTGGGATTTCCAAACAGTATACTTCGTATACCAAACGGACCCAACCTCCGATATGATCCTACCTTGTTGTTCCTTATTTGATAGATCATGAAAGTAGACTTTGAGTTAATGATGAATCTAGACTAATAATTAGTCGCAATAAAGATTAGACTAAAACTTAGCAATAATAATGCTAGGTTTCGTCGAAGGAAAATAGAATCGTTAAAAGCGAAGCGCTGCCCGAGTTTGGAATCATCACTTTAATAAGTGAGTGCATAGTTAATTTCATCTTACACATAGATATGAAGTATTTTATATAAATTACATGGTATGTGTGCATATAACCTGTGTACTTGCTATCTATGCTGGATGAATGATTTTATACATGTTTTAAATAATTTAAACTGTATATGAATTTTATATCTACGAATATGCTGGGTAAAACATGGGTAGATGAATGATAAGAGATGAAAGATGATATGAGTGAACATTGGCAGCTATAGACTTAGTGCCTAATAAATAACATCGGCAACTATGGACTTAGTGCCTATTGGATAAACACTGGTAGCTATGGACTTAGTACCTGTTAGATAAACGTTGGTAGCTATAGACTTAGTACCTATTAGATAAACACTGGTAGCTATGGATTTAGTATCCGATGAATGAACTTTAGCAGCTATGGAATTAGTGATTTACGAACGAGCATTGGCAGCTATGGAGTTAGTGCCTGTCGTATAAACCCCGGAAGCAATGGACTTCGGATTGAATGAATGTAGGATAAATGATTCTTAGGGTAGACCCTTAATAATAAAGAAGATATTGAGGATGAATAATTGGGTTAATTGTTTGATGATTAAACATAATAATTATATTATTGTGGGTTGAAAACCCTATGTACTCAACAGGTTTCCCAACCTGACCCATTCAGTTTATTTGTATCACATGTGTCGATATGAAGTTACATTACATTGAGAGATTAAGGAGATGTAAATCACTAGTGATAATGAATGTAAGTTTTGTTTATGCTTATGTTTCTGTATTGACGATGACATCCCAATGTTTTAAAAATGAATAAAATACATTTCTTCGGAAATGCTTGATAACGTATTTATCATGTTTTTCTGGGAACAAATTCCGCAAAACTTTTCTTTAAAAGGTTACCCTGATTTTCAAAATAAAGTATAAACAAATCGGTCGTTTGTGGCCGTGAAAATGGGGATGTCACATAATCACATATGATTTATATGGACAATACTCAATTTCGTGTTTTTGATTCAATAGTTCGTCTCGTGTGTTTAATCAGATGTGATTATTTAATCATATATGATTTATGTAGGCAATATTCGTTTTCATGTTTTGATTCAATAATCGTTAGCGTGTATTTAATATGAGAACAATTATTACAAAAATAATTATTACAACAGTTTAATTTAAAAATAAATAAATAAATTATAAATCTAAAAACATTTTTAAAAACAATTGTGTCAGTAGCTTTGAATAAAAAAATCTAGATAATAAGTAATGTAGATAATAAATAATGGATAAATAAGTTAAAAACAATTATGAATTATGTTACTACTTGAATTAAAAAAACGTTTTTAAAAACAAACTTTTTAAAAATCTCTACTTTGGTTAACCCAAATTAAATTGGTATGTATTTCTAAGATATATGAAAAAGAAAGTAGACATATACATTGTACAAAGTAAATCATGTAGAGTTTATAGGCTTTCATAATTCTATTATTGTATATTAGTACTCGGGACTATAAAAAATCACTTTTCATATTGGTTGAGTGATTACATTAAATTTTTGAACAATTTATGTAACATATTTTTATGAATATTTTATTGAGTCTTTATCCCATCCAAAACCTCATCTTTTGAGGTAAAATCATGCCAAATATGTAAAGGAAAAAAAAACTCGCCTGAAAATTTAGTTCCGATCATTTCTTTTTCTCCTCCTCCGCCAACATATCAAACAACATTTGAGCCATTTACACCTCCATAACTTTGTTCAGAGTGAGTGTCAACAAAGGCAGCGGCGGTGCCCGAAGAAACCAGATCTAGTGGCCGACGAAATGACAGTGACTCCATGATTCCCGATAAGATCTTAAACCTAATAGCCACGTCAGTGCGATTCGATGGTGACAGTGACGTTGGCCGGAAAAACCAGATCTTATGGCTATCTTCAGATCCGATGGAACGAGATCTGGACAAGTCGTGATTGAGCTAATCGTCTGGTCTGGCGGTGCTTCATTCACCGTGTACAAGATATGGTGACAAAGACATGGTGCGGAGGGTGAAATCGGCAAACAAGTGGTTGCACAGAGATCAAAACGATGTTTTGTTGGTCTGAGATGTGGTTCAATGGTGGTCGATAAAAGTAGATCAAGATCGAAGAGGACAGCATGAGATGGTTTCTGACGAGCGAAAAGAGTGGTGGTGAAACGGGGAAGTGACAATAAGATACGTTGAGAGTGAAAAGGCAGATTTCCAACGGCGTGTCAGTTGTTTTGTGGCAGTGGTCTGGTGGTTGTTTGACGGTGGTCCGGTAATGATTTGACGGTGGTCCTCCGGTGGAGCAGATGGTTGAAATATGAGACTATAGTTTAATAGAATGGGATGAGATATTTCAAAATTTTCCAGATATTAAATTAGTAATTAAACTAAATGTCAATATTTGTTATATATATATATATATATATATATATATATATATATATATATATATATATATATAGAGAGAGAGAGAGGAACATTGTTCTAATCTAAGTAGGATTAGATAGTTATCCAATCTTTTTTTTGGGACAAAATTGCAAAAATGGTCCCTGTGGTATGTCAAAAAATGTTACTTTGGGCCAAACAGGTTTGGACTAGCACCAATAGTCCAAAAATTTTCATTTTGCTGTGATTTTAGTCCAAAACAGTTTAAAAAACCTAAAAATGACGGATTTGCCCTTTTCCATTTATTTTTTGCTTTTCTTTTTGTTATTTAATTATTTTCTAACTAAAAAAACATAAAAAAAATAAAAGAAAATCTCTCTCTTTCTCTCTCTCTCTCTCTCTCTCTGAAAATTAGATCATGTTCTTCAAAATTATCTTCAATCAAAATCAGTCATGGAAAATCCATGTATTCGATCAAGACCCAGTTCATCTAAGTTTTCCGAATCAAATCATCAACGAAACCATTTCGATTAGCCTTCACTCCTTTGATGAACACATCCAGTTCAACCAAATCAAAATCTTATTCAAGCAAATTTGAAACTCGTCAAATCAAATTAGTACCTGGAACAGCTTCCCCGATCCAAGTTACATGTTACCGTATCTCCGATGAAGATCTTATGCAAACATTTACCTCCAAAATTAACCAAACCTTTATGTTTCTTGTAGAGAATAATCGTCAGATTCGACTTGGTTAAACACTAAATACTTGTTCACACCTTCTCTGATTTGCCCATTTCAGATTATTAAGAAAGTGGTGTTTGATTTGATAGATAAAGGTGAAGAAATCTAGGTCAAAATAGAAATCTAGGTCGGGGGAGATGAACAGAACTGGGTCGGGGGTACTGGAACTTGGGTTCGATCGACTGAAAAATAAAAACGTTTGGGACCTCACTTTATTGATATGTGGATGCCAAAGCCATTGTCGATTGATGCAGACTTGCTTCCTGAAATCGTTCATGGATATAAACCACCTTCAAGACTTTCAATCTGCAAACTAGAATTCGACTTCCTCAATTCCTCTGTTTCATCTTCCAGATGCTTCACTTTACAGAGCTTTAATTGAACCGCTGGATCAATCCCAACAACACCTTCGTGTTCACCCTCCGACATTTTTTCAACTCCTTGTTGCAGATCCAAGATTCGTTCCTTATTTTGTGCGGTTTCCACTCGAAGTTTCCTCTTCAGAACTTTAATTTTAACTTTTTGCAGCTTCAAGATCCGCTAAAACCTTCGTATAATCTGCCGTTTGTGCCTCTAATCTCTTGTTTTCAGTTTGTAAGGACTCGATCTTGAGATTAAAAAGCTTAGCCTACATGGTGTTTAGTTTAAGACGATTTTGAAGCTCCCTGACTGCAGTTTCTTGCTTCGGCGATGGAGGTTTTGATGAAGGAGACGGTGGCGGGATTTGAGGAGGCTAGGGATTTAGGGAGTGATGGTTGGATGAGAGAGAGAGAGAGAGAGATTTTCTTTTCTTTTTTTATTTTTTAGTTAGAAACTAATTAAATAACAAAAAGAAAATCAAAAAACAAATGGAAAAAGGGCAAATTCGTCATTTTTAGATTTTTTAAACTGATTTGGACTAAAACCGCGGTAAAATGAATACTTTTGGACTATTGGTTCAAAATAGCATTTTTGGACATTCCACAGGGACTATTCTTGCAATTTTGTCTTCTTTTGGAGTAACAATAGAAGTAGGAGTCGGAAAATCAATTGGGTGGGTGGCCTACTAATGTGAAACTAGTAATTTGATGTTATGTGGTTTTTTCTTTTATTTGTATGTTTTTGTCTTCGTTAGTGTTTTGTTAACGTGAGTCTATAAAAACATTATGTCGTTTAAAAAAATTATAAAAATAATAAATAAGGGATAATATGTAAACTTGCATAAAAAATTAACAAAATTGAGAAAGTGGTTTCTTATTTTCCTTTATTGTTGGTGTGAAACTCTAACATTTTCGAACGCCTAATCGGGAATCAATATTCATATCTTACATATAGTGGTTCAAAATTGCGAATTGAGCTTGTTACTAGTTTGTTTCTGTTGATGATATCTTTGCAAGTAATTGTTAATGTTGTCCAAATTAAAATATATATTGGAAATAGATCTGCAAGCTAATCAATCTTATGGAAATCATTCTAGCATAAAATAGTTCGGGTGGAAATCGATTAGTTAGAAATAGGTTTGAGGATGGAAGCAATCAAGTGGATAATATTGTTAGACTCTAGAGATCGGACACGACATATCACTTATCTGATGAATAAAATTGTTTTGTACACAACAAAAAGGGAGCTAGTCAACATATTCCTCTAGTGTAACAACACAAGGGGTGCTAGTGAGTATTTTTATCCAATGTATAAAGCACAAAGGCTAAATAGTTTGTATTTTCCTATAATGTACCAAATACAACTATTTATGGTGAATATTACTATTGTTTACAAAACACAAATGGAATCTAATCGGTTAGTCCTCCGAAGTACAAAACACGGCCTCTCAAAGGTATAAGTGATGTGGCTACATGTAAGGATGATGTTCATAAAATGAATGTTCAGATTGTTATTGTCACTTAATTGTTTGAATTTAGAATCACATAAGGAGCTGTTAAACAAGGTAAGGGTGTATCTGATTTTGAAAAAAGGTAACTTGAGTACTAAGAATCTAAGGATGAAAAAGGTAAAAAAATACTTCTTCTTTTTTGGGTATGCCTCCCACGATACCAATTCTAACGCCAATGTCAGGCCTTGTTGACACTCGGGGTGTCAAATCGAGCAGTCATGTCATGTTTTTGTCTGACACGATAAGGTTTTATATAACAAGAACACGGCACGATGTCGTGTTTATTGTCATTAACACGAAAACGAGTTGATTAAAACACGACAAACACAACACGACACGACAAACATAATATAATTCAATTATTAATTTGTCTAATTCATACTTAATCACATATAACACAAAAATACGACAAACACATGCTAAATCGTGTCAGTTTCGTGTCGAATTTTAAACACGACACGACATGAATACGTGTTTTTTATACTTGACACGAACACGACACGAACACGAATTCGAATTTCGATTTCGTCCCAATTTCGTTTCGTGTCATGTATTTTTGTCGTGTTGTGTCATAAATTGACACCCCTAGTTGACACATAAACACCATCGCCCATGAACCTACATCATATATGCTCAATATTTTTATTGTTAAAAAGCAAAGAATATTTGAAAATATATGTCAAATTGAAATGTGTTAAGAGAATTTGGTATTAGAATAATGAAATCTGCAAAAAGATATAATTGTTGTGATAAAGATTGTACTTAGCGGATGTGGGGTATATTAGATCAAAATATTAACTGTTTTCTAAGAGTGAAAGCGTGTGGATAAATAAACATGTATAAAAATCGAAATACATCCCAACCATCGCCAACTGAGTAAAAAAGTGTTGGTCCGTTTTGTTAGAAGAGAGAATATTTTATAGTGACAAGATGGTATATGGTGGGAGCATTTACGTCGAGATATCTATTCTTGATACAAAATAGACATTTCCTACTCTGGTGTACAAAGTGTTATGCCTTGGAACTTCTGAGGGTGATGCTGAAAAATCCATTTGCATGACTTCTTGTGTATTTTCACAATATAAAGAAGGAGAATGAAGGCACTGTAACACACATCAAGACGAATAAGCATGGTCAATTTAAGATCTTATTTGTATCCATCGGTTATACGGTAAGATTCAATTTCATTATGACATATAACATTAAATGTTTATCATACTGAATTGTTTGTAAAGCATATCATTTGCAACTTTAAACATCTATTAAAAGCTTGTGATGATTAAGAGTCATAGACATTGTCTACCTTAAAGGGAAATCCTTAGGAACCATGTTCTTTGTGGCAGTTATCGATGGACAGAACCAAATCTTGACCCTAGCCTATGGAGTGGGCAAGACAGAGCGTGAGGATGTGTGGACATGGTTTTAATAAATGCTCCATGTATCTATTAGTGATTTGGAAAACTAAGCAATTGTATCTTACAAAGCTAAATCCATTAAATAAGTTGTTGGACGTGTATTCCAACACACATCACAAACTTTGTTTAGTTGGGTTTGTTTGAGTATAAATCTTGATTACGTCAAGTAAAGAGGCTTTAGTGTTCAACGCACCATGTTCATCCTTATGGAATCCGACTAGATAACTACCCTTAAACTTTTTCCAACCCTATAGTTGGAATTTGATAATGAATATGCACCATGTTCATCCTTATGGAAGACCCCGGGGGTAGCCTATGATATTTGTATGAAAGACCATAGGGGTAGCCCATGATAATTGCATGAAAGACCATGGGGTAGCCCATGACCATTGTATGTTAGACCATAGGGGTAGCCCATGACATTTCAAGGAAAGACCATGGGGGTGGCCCATGACACATGGTTGTAAGACCCTGGGGGTGGCCCATGGCATTCCAGGGAAAAGACCATGGGGGTAGCCCATAACAATTATATGTATGGTATGTGGTATTTTGTAAAACCCATTAAGCTTTGTGGTTACAGTTTTATGTTTGTGGTTTCAGATACTTCCGGTTCAAGAGGAAAAGCTCGACATGATTGTACCACATCCACTAGTGTTCCGAATGATTTAACTTGTTTTGTACTTTGATAATTATATGACATGTATTTGTACTCTGATGGGATTTTCTGAACGAATGAATGGTTGTTTTGATCGATTTAAAAAAAAAATTCACTTATTATTTTTGGGACGTTACATCTTTTCTTTCAAAAAACATGGTTTTATTTTGTTAATCCAAATTGAGATTAAATGAACTCCCCTATATGGATAAAAAGCAACTAATTCAATCCAACATGACCTAAAACAGAATTACATGAACTTTGGTGCTAGCTGAGTTTTAATTGAAAAGGTTTTGCAAATATCACATTTTGAATACAAATCAAGAGCTGAGATCAAGAAATCTTCTTGCCATAGGATGTTTTAGCTTCGGAGACTTTCTCTGAACTCAAGACTTCAACAATTTCACCACCCACAAGCAGACAAACCACATCTGCAATCCTTTTAATTTGTTTGATGCTATGTGAAACCATAACAATCGTCATCCCTTTACTCTTCAGTTTCACCAACACATCTTCTATGTTTTGTGTCGATATTGGATCCAACGCACTTGTTGGTTCATCCAACAACAAAACCTATACAACAAAAGAGAAGGATAGTTTGGTAATTTTACATAATTACTTTCTTTACAACAATTTAAGCAAAATGAAATGAATTACCTCTGGCTCATTGGCTAATGTTCTAGCAAGTGCAACTCTTTGAGCTTGACCAACAGATAGTTCGTTGCCATGTTTATTGAAGAAAGAGGAGTCAAGATCAGCAAAAGTCAGCAAGTTGTACACTTGTTCATCACTTACTTTCTTTCCTTTCAGCTGTGGCCCATATCTTATGTTGTCTGCAACTGTGCCTGTTTTAAATAATATCATATTAGTGTTTACACATGCTTTTAAAATGATTAATTCGAGCAGAAGAATGAGAAGTAAATAAAGATAGTTAATTGGTTAAACCGAAGATATATGGCAATTTTATATTTTTTTTCGATAATCATTTCGATCGAAAACTAGAGAGGATATTTGGATGTGTATTGAAAGTGTTTTTTTCTTAGTAAATGATAAATGGATGAATGATATTTTTGGAACAAGTGTTAGAAATATTATTTATTTTCTGAACCAAATAAATGGTCTAGATAAGAATAAAAGACTTATTTTAATTATTTATTGAACTGATGTTCAACAAAAAGGTTATCATTTATTCGAAAACTGTTACAAAATTTAAACTAAAAAAAATAACACGAATAACATTACATACATAGTTATATTTATTTAATTACAACATGATTAATAATAGAAATCGAACATAATATTTAATCCCGACATTATGCAATTTTATTCCAAGTACAAATAGCAAGATTCCATTGGATGTTATTAGTCATTTGTTTAATCGCTTTTTAGTTCTCAACAGTAACAAATGTATGCATTAGCATAAAGGACGCATAATTAATTAGCACAAATAAGAACATAAATGATCACTAATGGAGAATACTAAGTTCTGAACAACGAAGACAATGAAATAGAGAAGAACATGGGACTTCGTTTTGTTACACATGTATCAAAGTGATAATCTAATTTGACACATGAGATTAAGATCTTGCATGATCGATTAATGGGGTTAACCCCTTGGATCAGATACACTCAATAATAGAACTTAATTAGCTAAAACAATATTAGAATATGATTTAATTAGTACCTTCGAACAAAACTGGAAGCTGAAACAGCATACCCACTTTTCGACGAAGCTCAAGAACATCAACGCCGGTGATATCTTTTCCGTCAAGAAACACCGTTCCTGAAGGTGGTTCCCACAGACGATTGAATGCTCTTAGTAGCGTTGACTTACCACCACCACTCGGGCCTATGATACCCATGATTTTGCCTCTTGGTATCTCCAGACTCACATTCTTAAGGATTGAAGCTCCTTTATCTAAACATCTTGTCAAATTCTTCACTTGAATCTTGCTTTCTGATCCGTTAAACCCATCGTTTTCGTTTACGTTCACTGATAGTAAATGTTCTCGTGCACCATCTGTACGTTTTAAAATGTCAAATCCAGAAAAACAGTCAACAAATTAAGCGATCCTATATGGGGTCCAAATTACTAAAAGCATCAAAGGCGTTCGGTAGAATTACAGATTGAACATGGAGTTTAAATTACGATGAAATATTTGTAACAAAATTGCTCTTACTTACCTTCAAAGTTCTCCATTGCAAACGGACGAAAGGAGCATATAGTGCGATCTCATGACCACCAATTATATAGTTGAGCAAGTTGCTCAACGTCAGTGGATCATTTTTTAAAGATATAGGACCTGCCTTGCTGTTTTACTTTTTGTCTGAGTAAGAATGCCACATCATATGACACAAACTCTCTCTCTCACTTTTTATATATATATATATATATATATATATATATATATATATATATATATATATATATATATATATATATATATATACTATCTTATTAAACATATTGTCTATTTCTTGAAATGTAAGAGGTATATCTATTACAACATGATGTACAATCTTATTAAGCTTACAATCATACCGTGTATTTTTACCCTATCTTAACCCTAACATCATCGACACAACATCGGACGTCCTCAAACCCACATCTCTTCTATCTCTCTCCTTACTCGCTTCAGTTTCCAGTGGACCATCGGTAACACCACCCTCTTCACCCCCCCCCCCTTCCGCCGTCGCTACAACCTATAGAAGGTCACTGAACATCCCTTCCTCCATTAACTGTCATGTGCTCACTCAAATGCTCATCTTTCTACATTGGATGATTGACGGCTGCATTTGTTAAGAAAGATCATGGTTGTGGCGGCTTAGGGTTTGTAGAGAGGAAGACGACGATAGACGACGACTATGGTGTTGTTCGACAATAGTGAGACTGATGACGATGGCGGGGGAGAAGCGGTCAGATTCTGCATAAGCGCGAATAACCTAGGGTTTTGCAAAGGGTTTGAAATATTTGTTTCGTAAACTGCGGTGTCTCTTAACGTCATCTCTACATATTAGAATATGGTTCACGGTGGTCTTGTTATCAATCGTAATAGATGATGGCGGAGCAATAGAAGAGTCGTCAACATGGCCAAGAAGATGTTGATAGGAGAGGAGTGGGGTCATTTGATTCATCCATAGAAGGTAATTAGTAGACGAGAGGCGAATTGTGATGAGATGAAGGATAGTGTTCATGGAAAGGGTGGTATCATTGGGGTTGGATGTTGACATGATGAGGTGACGATGGTGATGGAATTCCGGTGAGAGGGGAAGAAGAAAACCGAAAAGAAGAGAAAATGAGAGGAGGAATCAAAAGTTTAATGAGGGAGAGGAAGGGAGGGGTTGGCTCTTGATACCATGTGTAAATGAATCTCCATATCAAAAGACATGGGGTTATGCTCATTATATAGTGGAGATAATTACATATAACCCCCACAAAGAATACAAAGAGACATACAATAATTACATATAACCTACACAAAGAATACAAATAGACATACAAATAAGTGTAGTCTAATAATAGTCTCTACCCTCACACCATTATTTTGTCGATTAACCACACCACGATGTGTCTTTCTCTCTATTTTTCTCCCTCTTGGGTGCTTCTTTAGTTTACGTTATTCTTAAGTGCGATTTCTTTTTGTTTTTTTGTTGTTCCATTTTTTAGCCTTTACCTAAAGCTTGAAGAGTTATTTCAGTTTGCACAAGGTGCCAATACAGGGTTAAAAGTCAATACAGAGCTTTGGTGGCATATTTAGGTTGAGATGGTGATAATCTCTCTCTCTCTCTCTCTCTCTCTCTCTCTCTCTCTCTCCCTCTCTCTCACTCTCACAGGTGCTTCTTCAATTTACGTTATTCTTAAGTAAGATTTCTTTTTGTTTTTCTGTTGTTCCATTTTTTATCCTTTTACCTAAAGCTTGAAGGGTTATTTTAGTTTGCATAAGGTGCCAATACAGGGTTAAAAGTCAATACATAGCTTTGGTGGCATATTTGGGTTGAGATGGTGCTGACTATGCTCAAACTGTAATACAATCAAGGGTCATAGTAATTTCTCAGGCACTACTTCTGTTAGCCAAACAACCCCTCCCGGTAAGTCTCATGTGAATTTACCATACTACCCTCTCAACATTTTTGTGTTCTCATTCATGATGTGCATCTTGAGGAATAGTACATCGTTTAAGACTCCTCCACCCACAATTACTAGATTATAATTGTGTATTTGAGTTTATATAAAGAGGTCATTTTGAGAAGCCTATTGTTATTAAAAATCTGTAATGGGTGTCTGCATATCCAGGGCATCTCCAGAGATTCATGAGATTGACTATGGCCATGACAACATCATATATTACCAACAATACCCCCAACATCATATATTACCAACAATACCCCTTCCGATAAAAGAATTAGCTCCATCCATACACATCAAGGATCCAAAGGATTCATCCAAGATGTTGCCAATTCTTTACCAGGTTTCCTATATCACTCCTTGTGAATCTGTAACACCCGGTATCAGAAAGGCCAAGAAAGGAAGGAAAAACCTAAAGTCAAAAAGGGGGTCAACTCGTCGAGTCGAAGGAAGAACTCGACGATTCGGAGCGGGATCCGGGTGCAAGATTAAATGACCGACTCGACGAGTCGGAGAGTGGACTCGGCGAGTCAGGTCTGGGTTAGGAAGCCCTAATTCCGGGACTTGGTACCCTATTTAAGCATCTTATTCTTTTCCCTAGGGTTCATTACAGCCTTTCTCGTCCAGAACCCAAAACCCTAGCCACTCAACTCCATTGTGTGAGCTTTTGAGAAGATTAAGGGCCTTAGAGTGCATCTTGGAAGCTTGGAGAGAAAGGAGCAAGGAAGGAAGAGTAGATCCAGCCTCCATATTGTCTTGGCAACTGTTAGGAGGTAAAAAGTCTGAACCTTGAGCTTTCAATTGATAGATCCCCTTTCTATCTTGCCTTTTGTCACAGTTGGATCATTTCCAAGTAGAATCCGAGTATTAAGCCTTTGACGATGGATTGGACAACAGATCTGGACACTCTTGAGCTCTAGAAGCTCAAAGTTGTTGGCTTTATCCAGCTAAGGTCCCATTTCATGACCTAGGCCTTCATTGTAGCCTGGATTAAGTGTTCTAGCCTCATAGCACCTTGCATGCACGTAAAGTTAGCAACTTTACGTGCAATGCTAGCATTAGGAGTCCAGATCTATGAGTTGGAAGCGTTGGAATGGACTGTAATCGACATAATAGAGATGTCATAAGGTGGACTCGACAGGTCCATTCATGGACTCGGCGAGTCGGGTCGCAAACCCAAACCCTTCTGTTATGATTCGGATCAGGGAGTGGAGTTAGTGAAGGATTCAGCCAGACTGAGTCCGTAATGGTCATGAAGCTCATAGTACTCGACGAGTTCGAGGAGGAACTCGGCGAGTCCAAGACAATCTCCTTAGTTATGAAGATGAACTCGACGAGTTGTTCATACAACTCGGCGAGTCATGGCCTAGATATTCATACGATGATGATGAACTCGGTGAGTTCAAGGATGAACTCGGCGAGTCGGTTGAAGATAGTCCTGAAGTGTTAGATGAAGGAGAACTCGTCGAGTTCTCGCTAGACTCGACGAGTGGAGTCGGGGTTGTTTTGGGATTTGAGGAACATGGACTCGGCGAGTTGGCAGAACAACTCGACGAGTCGAGTCAACTGGAAGGTTGACTTTGACCAGGACTTTGACCTTGAGAAGGACTTGACCAGAGTTGACCTAGTTGACTTCTGGGGGACAGTTAGGCTAAGTTTTATTATTGGTATTGGTAGCTCGGGGAGCTAGAGGAGCAGCGGTTCGGAGAGTTGTCAGATAGCAGCCAGAGGGTTATCAGTAGAGTTCAGCAGTGCAGGTGAGTCTCCTTACTGTGTGCATGGGTCTACGGCCACAATGCCGGCCCATTATGTTTATGCTTATAGTTATGTGTCGTAGGAAGACCCGGGGGTTAGCCCTAGGCACTTATTGTGATTTGTTCGGATTTAGATCCGTTATCGGGGTTAGCCCGATGCAGTTTATATGTTCCGGACTTCGGTCCGATGCCGGGTGGTACCCGAGGCATTAGTGGATGTGTAGTTATACTTGTTGTCTTTGTGATACTTGTATGTGCCTGGTAGGGAGGTGAGTCGGGCGAGGTCCCGTATCTCATCACTAGCCGAGTATGGACAGGGATCCGTATCTCATTAGTAGCAGTGCAGGGGCGAGGCCCGAGTTAGGAGGGAGGTGACTGTGGGCGGGGGCCCGTATCTCACTATCAGTAAGAGCATGGATGGGGTTCCATGACTCACCAGTAGCAGGACAGGGGCGGGGCCCAAGCTAGGCGAGGCTTTACATCAGTAGTAAAGTAGAGTATGTTTAGCCTTATGATATGTGTTATGTTATATGCTTGTATTTGTTAGTAGCGGGCGAGGCCCAGAGACAGTCGGGGCTTAAGAGAACAGATCTGTATACCGAGCGGGGCTCGATGCCAGGCGGGGCCTGATGCCGGGCGGGGCCCGATGCAGTGGGTGGGGCCCAAGTTAGTCCGGACTACGGTCCGATGCCGGGCAGGGCCCGATGCTGTGAGCAAGGCCCAGTATGTGGTATGTGGTAGATTGGGGGGACTCACTAAGCTTCGTGCTTACGGTTTTCAGTTTTGGTTTCAGGTACTTCCGGTAGCGGAGGGAAGAGCTCGGGGTGATCGCATGGCACACACACATAGCAAAAGAAGTTTAGCCTGGGATGTTTACTCTGATAAAATGAACAATTGTTTTGAAAAGATACTCTGATTTATTATAACCCTTTTTGTATGTTGAAATGACTCGATACTATGATTTAGTAATGTTTTAAAAGAAATTTTTGGTCATGATTTTTGGGTCGTTACAAGTTGGTATCAGAGCCTTGGTTTGAGGGATTCGGGCACGCTATCGGGTGTGTCTGGACTCAAACTGAGGAATTGGTATGAAAATTTTCAAAAGGAAAATCATTTTTGGAAAAAGAGCTTTGGGAAAAGGAAAAGAATTTCTTGAAAAAGAAAAGAGTTTTGGAAAGAGAAAAGAACTTTGAAAAAGAAGAAAGGAGGTGTGGTGCACGCAATCAGCCGAGCTCAAGTAAGTACCCCAAAATACCCATACAAGTTATGTTATGATATGCTTATTAGAACTGCATGCTAGATTAGGGCTAAGGATCTAGGAGGATGTCTTATGTGCCTGTTATATGTGTACGAGATTTATGAATTGCATGCTAGTACAG